CTTTGATTGCGTCCAGTCATGCCTGAGATAAGTGGCAGCTGCTTTTATGTGATAGTGGAACAAGTTCAAGTGGTGTACGTTTGATATATTGCATTTACCGAAGATCCTGTCTTGGATTCGCATCCGAATTCTGTGGAACTTGAGCGTTTAGTAGCCCAGTTTCAGTCACTGAGCCAAGGTACCGTGTTTCATCCGTAGTCGGCATGCATAATGACCTGTCAAATTAGTGTACTAACTACCCAAGTCTAGCAGTTGACGCCGACTTGTGCTTCCATTTTTATCTTGTAAAATACGTTCTCCTGAACTGTACAATTAAGGACACATAAGCAGCCTGTTATGTACCAGCTTCGGCGCGTCTGTCACTGGAGCATGTCTGGTACGGGGCACCGCCATCGGGGTAGTGATACCGCAGGGGGTTAACTGATTTAGACCCTAGCAATTGTGACCTTCAGGCACGGTTCTTTGGAGAAAAAAGACATGGAGGCCAGACTGGTAGGAACCGTTTATTCTGTGCAGAAGGAATAAAGGATAGGTAAGAGGAATTTGACTGTCAGACGAGGTATGAACCGCCGGTAAAGCGCCGCGTCTGAGCTGACGACAGCGTATGGGGATTTCTTGAAGCGCAGCGCATGTTTCGTTCCTGTAGTCAGTCAGGAAATAGCGGACTCTGGGGTAGTGCTGCATGGGCACCAGCGAAAAGGTTGGTCGTCTTCACCATGGTGCGCACATGAATTTGAGTGTGATAACTTCATAGGCACTTGCTGTTGTTGTTGTTTCTACCATCCATCGTTTGCCTTTCAGGCCAAGGTGGAGTCCATTCTTTCACGCTCGCACTCCCAGCAATCCCGTCTGCTCTCGCCCCACTCCCTCGATGCCAACGGCTTTGATTTTTCGCACAAACAGGAACCGCCTGGCACACTGAACCCCTACCCTTCTCTCCCGACCAATACCAGCGCTGCCCCAACCCTTGAACAGCAGTCCTACTATCAGCACCACCAACAACAACTGAAACCAGCCCCCCATCACCAACATCAGCATCATCATCACCATCACCACGAGACGCCAGAAGAGGAGCAGCAACAGCATCCTATACGCGCAGCAGAGCCACTCACATCCGACTATGCTCCTCATCCGTCGCCGT